CCCTCACAAGTCCTCATTCTATCATACACTTAGAGGAGCCATTTGCCCTGCATTATCTCCCCTCTCCAGCCAACGAAACGATGGCCATTTGCGGGTGTATGGCAGCCGGGAAAAATCGCAAAAACCACTGGCTGCGGAGTTCTCCTAGTACCGACATTAGGACTAAATTGGAAGACATAGTGACCCTTCTGAAGCATTCGAAGGGTCCAGCCAGCTGGACGCTACAGACTTGTGAGTACCTCGGGAAATTCACACTCTGCCTTTCTAGCCTCCTTCACGAAAGTCGTGCTGAAATGTCAGAAAAGTCTTGTCAGAGCGTTTTGTTTTTAGTTTGCTTTATTTTGTTCATTTACGTGCTAGGTGAAGTAACTCCCGTTGCACTCCTACTGGAGCTTAAGCACGGGTGGGGCCGGGCTGGATCAAGTTAACTACCATTAACTACATCTACCTCGTCCCACCCGAATGACCGGACCACCTCAGACTTCACCCATGTGTTAAATCATGTCAAGCCCAACTGTCCAGAGAACCCTCTTCTGGCGCGCCGAAGCGCAAGTTCCTCCTCAGCCTCGGCCACCACGCGCCCGAGCCCTCGAGAACTTCGCGATCTGTAAGTTTTACCTTCCATTCATTCCCAGATGTGGCTCACCTTAGCATCTCCTCATCTCATCCAGGGATCGTTTTCTTCACTTGAGGCCTCATCCAGTCGCCCACCAAGGCCTCCTCAGTTTATTTTCCCTCTGTCCTTCAGCCAATCTCGTCATCCCAGAAACTTTGTAGAATGTCGACCCCTTCGGCCTTGCCCCGTCGCTGCAGTACCCCTAACTGTGACTTCACTTAGGTGATAGTAAAAATATATATAAAATAACTTGATTCTCTATTCTATCGAAGCAAAGCTAGTCATACATATTTGAGTCTTGGTTATCAAATCCATGCTGCTTACCTAAGCAGGTGCGCCGGTACTCCAAACTCTATTAATTACAGGAATATACAGAACAATAAAATGATTAATTATAACGACGCTAACCGTGGGTGTCGAAAACGCGACTGAGGGCTCAAGACCGAGAAGCTGATACTCCAGCCTTCGTCAAACGCTCTAGTTGGTGTGTCGGAGAAATATCGTACGTATCTCGTCGGTGGCAATTCTTCGCAGGTCGAGTTGTTAGTGCCCTTGGCCGGGGTGAGGACACACTTAGGGCCGGTATTTCGACCGTACCTTCACAGCGACTTACAGTTGCGGAGGATCAGACATCCTCTGGCTTCTTAGATGGCGATTTGGCTTTCGGAGGTATAGGATCGCTTAGTTAGGTGGTGAGATGATTTTGGCTGGCAATGAATTTCTAGAGAAAAAGAAAAAAAGATCCTGAAGGTATCGGTTTGTGTAATACAAACATTAGACAGGTTATAGCCTGTCTGCGATTCTTATCTGGGGTTTAGATGGTTGATTTCGTTGAGCTATGAAGCCGTTAAATCTCTGCAAATTGGATTTTCGACCAAAAATAAGCCGACACTACTCCTCCCGATCGATAACTCGACGAAAACTCTCAAATTCACCCTTTTTCGTGACTAAATCTTGGGTCTGGGAGAATATTTCACTCCCAAGTTCGTAGAGGATACCACTGACAGATGTTCAGTCTTTTTCCTCCTCTTGACAGAGCGTGGTTGCTGTATGGTAACTTAGCCCAACTTCTTTTGTGCCGTCCAGGGCGCTGGAGATTGCCGTTGACTCATCGACAAAAGAAGCCCTCCTGGCTAATTAGCCGAAATCTTGGCCTTGACGCTGACAAAGAATCCAAACTTGAAAGCCCCTCGAAAATGTCAGTCCTAGCATGGTCTTCAGAGACCAGTACTCCCTCTCGCTCCACAACTCAGCAGGCTGTCCTTCCTCAAGATGTATAACCCCATTAGAGCAGCAGTCCCCCATAAACCAAGACCCCAACTTTGTATATTATGACTTAATTTTCTCCTTGCGGGTATACGTAGCGTCGTAAATTTGTAGTGGGTGATGGCCGGTGATGAATAAGGCAAGCTCCTGTTTGCAATTGGGGTGACACCTTTATCGGTCGGCGAGGCGAGATGATATGTGGTTAGATCGGGGTTGAGGACTCATAAGATAATGGTGAGTGCTGCATAATTGAGAAGCCGTCAAATGGAGATGTGTTTGAGGTTGCTTTTATTAAAGTTCTAGGGGGTATCTGGAATGATAGAAGTGAACGTTGACCGTCAAGTCAATACTATACGAATTGTGGGATATTGGGGATTTATGGATCAGAGATAAAAGGTTAGGATCGGTGAGGTTTTGGTTTTACTGAACTTATATTTCGGTAGTTAAAAAGTGTTAATATGTAATCTACATCTAATTGTCTATCTATGTTCTACCTCGCTTAGGTAGAAAAATTGTGTTCTGACTACGTGATGGAATAACATTCACACCACCGAGATCATCATCAACCGAGACCTCACCAAAGCTGGTAGCGATCGAAGATGAGTAGTCTTCGTCTACTCCGCACTGCATGCAGTTCGGTCTGGCATGTCCAGAGTTCAACAGCTTTCGTCTTCGATTCGGATGCGATTCTTCTTGGCTATCTCAGATATGCAGAATATACTGAGCGATCACACCGGCACCACTGGAAGTTGAAGAATTCGTCTTTGCCGGCTACTCATGCAGATTAGTCGCGCGGAGAAAGTTTGTACTTAATAGTTTTAGTCTATCTAACTTTCGTGAATACAACAATATCACTTCTTATTCTTTCTGACTTCCTTCCACTTTGTATTCCTTTGTATTCCTTTGTATTCCTTTGTCTTCTCTACAGTCATACAGCTATAGAAGGCCTCCCAATTTAATATATAGAGCTTTTTGCTTTAGCTCAGGACTGTAATATCGAAACAACAAAAACTTTTTGTTACCAAAGGCCTGGATAGTGCAGTGGTACACCAACTGGGCCATGAGCCACAATCAGTTATCGGGTGGCTTGCATGTCATTGCATTTTGGGCGGGAAAAAGCTGGTTCGAATCCAGTAAAACCCACATTCCAGTCTCTCTCGCGGTGGAATTGTCGTAATTTTTTTCTTTTTACATCAGATTTTAATTGCGTATGCAGCTATCTAGCCATGACACAATATCAAAGAAAAGTGCAGAATAGATGATTCAACGTACGGGAAGAGCACTCATGCCTCGGATTTCATTTGCAAGTACCACTGCGAAGTTCTGGTGGCTTTTTCTTCACACTAAGTCAACCCTCATCCGTGAATACCCACCCAGGGGAACGTCTCAAAAACCCTGAGTTATCCAGACATGCCTCCATCATCTTTCAACTTTTCTCCGCGCGAAATATGGTCTGAGATGTCTCCTTCCCAAGTGAAGTAGGTGCCCAGGCTACTCAGACTATACCGGAGAACACCACCAGGAGGCGGACCACAACACCTTCCATCGTTGGATTGTTTTTATAGTGTCAGCTACACTCTCGAAAGCAAATTCTTGGCGCGCACAAAGCCCAGTTCGTAAAACTCCTTGCCAAAATTCGAAATTTCATGCCCGTCGAGAATGTATCCTTCCTTTGCATCATCTTGTGAACTTGCCCTGATCCCTCTCACGTCCATCCCAAAGAAGTGTCTCCCAGATTTGTGCGCCACGCTTTGCTTCCTCCTGCGGGTATAAATATCGGCGTGGGCGTGTGTTTGGTGGACAACTGAGGCCAGAGAAAGTTGACGAGAGGTATGGTCATTTGGATGAGGATGTACTAGGTCGTACTTGTAGACTTGATGAGACTTAGGTAGGCGTTAAACTCGTTGGGAGCGAAATAACGACGTGGAGGAGTAATTTGGATTTTTGCCTCGTGGGCCAGCTTCTTTGATATTTCAAAATTCGACTGAACCTGGCTCTGGGAGAATATTTGACTCCCAGGTTCGTAGAGGACACCGCGTACTGGTGTTCAGTCTTGAACTCATCTGAGGCGGTTGCACAAGTGGGCTTCTAGGGGACACCTCGTACAGTTGTTCGGTTTCTGACTTTGCAGAATACCAATTGAATCATTTTAACAAGCCCTCCTTGCTTTTGATGTGATCTTCTAACCATAAATAAATCCTGCCTTCCCTCGCTGAGACGTTGACACAAATCTACAGATTAATATTATTCCTCCATCAGCTTTTTTTCATCACCATTATACAAAATGAGTCAATTCAAAGATCTTTACGAATACACTGCCCAAAATCCTCTCAAAGAAAGTCTTGCTCGATTTAGGCAGGGCAATGAAAATCAAGTGGACCCTATAACTTGTAAACATTCCATACAGAATTCTGAGACAACAGCTAATTAAGCAGTAATTTCTCAATTTATTTATGAACTAATGGGCTACACGCTTAGATTTAAGAATAACGTCTCTATCAAAGTACTTTTCAACCAGCTTTCTAAAATTGTCGCAGAGATAATGGTTAACAAACTATCTATCTTATTTTTCGAAAAATTAGTTGACACGATCAACTCTAACGGCAGCGACCTAGACGTTTGGGCCGAAGTCATAAGCCTTGCCAATGACTTTCACGATGAACCATCTAGTGAATCCCAGTCTACACTGGACATAGAGATACCTATAGTAAGAAGAAAATACACAACGACTACCTTCACGCGAAACGCTCAAGAATGGCACAAATATAATAAAACCTGCGAATCCCTCACATTGGCTCTCAAAGGCGAATCAGTAAATGACGTATACAAAAATGTTGGTAATTTCTGGGAGGTTTATTTCGAGAATCCAAGGTGGTCTCCAACAACAAAGCGAATCTGGGAGAGTTATCGTGATAACAATCAATGTCTACCCCATGTTTTCAAGGAAAGAATGAACGAAAGTGAACTCCATGCATAGCTTTATACATTCTATGATCGCTACCTGAAACAGTTCAGGACTCCTCACGAGGCAAATTTACATGAACCAGCATTCATCCATACAGAACATGATCCTCCTGTGCGCGGCAGATTCGCTCACACCACAGAGTTCAAACAACTTGACGGTGGTAAAAGTAGACGAAAACTCGACTTTTTCATCGAAGGTGCCGACCTGCCCGATGTTCCCAAACATCATTGGAGAGATATTAGAGTAGTCGGTGAATTTACCAAGTCACCTGTAAAGAAAGAGGCAAAATATCACCAGCTCACAAGGTACATTCGTGAGATATTTTACGCGCAGCCGTTGCGTCGATTTGTGCATGGATTTGTCGTGCATGGATTACACGCCGAGTTTTGGATTCTCGATCGCTCGGGCGCGTACAGCTCGGGTAAAATTAGTCTAATCGAAAATGAGGAGAAACTGGTTCGAGCCATCTCGTCCTATGTCTTCATGAGTGAGGAGGAGCTTGGACTTGATACGACTATTCGTTGTGTCAATGGTAAATCTTACATCAACATTAGAGACAACAAAGATGCATCAGAACGGGAGATCGAGATAGATCCTGAGCCGATTTCTAGACCGGAGACAATAGTTACACGGGCTAACGTCTGCCATCGGACCAAGGACGAAATGTACATGGTCAAGTTTTCGTGGGGGTCAGGTACTGAACGATCGGAGCTTGATTATTTGGAGCTAGCTAAACCGGTGAATGGTGTGGTTGACTTGAAATGGAGTAAGGCTATACATGAGGTTGAGACCCATCGAGCTGGGCTGGATTTCTCAACAGCTCATAAGGTTTACTTTCGAGATAACGAATGGCATCTCTCGCACGGCCTTCATAGCAGAACATCCAAATCCGAACCCTATTTCCGGAAACGTAAGCTAACGTTGGCACTACTGTCTCCCAATGGACGCCCTCTCAAATCCTGTCGAACGCTTCGGGAGTTCTTAAGTTGTCTACTTGATGCCATAATCGGTCATCGAGATCTTTACGCTAAAGCTAACGTTCTACACAGTGATGTTTCTGAGGGGAATATCATTTTGACCAAGCCTGACGCAGACGGAAAATCACGCGGAATTCTTATTGACTTGGACATGTCTACTTCGGTTGATGACAAGGTGAATGAGACGGAGAAAACAAAAATAACTGGGACAGTCAAGTATATGGCGATTGAATTGCTGAGGAACATGAGCGAAGGCAACTATAGCATAAAGAAATCGTGTCGTTATGATCTCGAGTCGTTTTTTTACGTTTTTCTCATGGGGTGTCTACGGTACGGTTGTTTGAGTGTAAATTCTGAGTATTTGAAAAGCTGGTACACAAACAATACTTCACTGAATTACTTTAAGAAGAAGGGAGATATTATCGAAAATTTCGAGACAAATATCTTGAAACACTTTCCGTCGAGTTTTGACAGTGTCAAGGATTTGGCAAGAGATCTTCGGAAGATATTGTTTGGAGAAAATTTAGAACAGTTCGCGTCAACCTCTAACTCTGCTCAACTTTATGCACCTATTATTAGTGCATTCAAGAATATTATAACACAAATTGATGGTATGAAACTTCTCCATCCGCCCTAAATCAATCCCCTTGTTTAACACAGATATGCTGATATCTTCCACCATTTGTCACAGAGGGTCATATTGTTGACGAAGAACTGAGCTTAGAACCTAAGAAAAAAAAACGAAGGCAGACAAAATCGAAAGGAGGATCAACGCTCAAGTCGAAAAGGACAATGTGAGAGGTTGATAGGGAAAGTGTAATGGTTTGACCGTTGTTTTAGCTTAGGAGGAAACCTAAGCGTTTAATTAGGAATAATTACGACAAGACTGAAAGAGGAAGGATGGGCAAATAGAGATGAAATGGAACTAGTAGCCAGGAGCTCGAAGCAACATCATAGCGTAATGGCTCCTGATAATACTTGGCTCAGTAGCAAGAATTACGCCTAGAGAGAAGTTATCAGTCAGCAGATTCACGAAGCGGACCAAACGTTATAAGTACCTGTTAGTAGTAGCTAGAGATTTCTTTTCTCTTCACATAATTTAATAAATCGATTTATTCATAAATTAACTAATAATATTCTCAGAGTTCATGGAATTGATTGTGCTTTTTCAGGATGCTATCTTAGTTCTAAAATACATCTTTAGATTATTCTCATAATTTAATACCAAAATTCAGACATAGCCCAATAATTACAATTATTTATGCAAACAGGTCGTATCTCCCTCCTTTACATGGTTCTGGAATTGGTCGTGTTTGTTCCCTTAGTAATAACTAACAAGTGGAAAGTATAACCAGGCATAGTAAAATTAAAGCGATTTAATAGGAGATTAAGGAACTCGACTGTAACGACGAAATAAAAATTGCTAATATTAGCGGGATTATGCATAGGTAGGTGGAAATCTACCTAATAACATATGCATGATTCGGCTATATCCAGTGACGCTTTAATCTTATATTTCAGCTGCATACTGATTAACAGTCTTAACAAGGGTGATTCTTTCCGTAACCTGACAAGGGCCCAAAACAGTTCGGCAATGCAAATACAAAGTGAGCACATGGGGCTTAACTCGTATTTACACAGAAGAAAAGTACCCGGAGTATTAAGTCTAGGTTGTCCATGCGGCTACCAATCATAGAACCCCAAGCATATGATAATGTCCTGCCCCCGATGGTCAAATGGTAGAGCTGAGAACGGAGACAAGCTAAAGATCGATCCTACGAAGCGATGATAAATAATCCTGGAGATATAAAAAGGAAAACACAGTGGATCCTAAACCATAGTTGGATAGAGCAATTCCAGATGACAAAAGCGGTCGAAATACTGCTGAGGGAAAGGAAAAGATCAAATAATGCTTGGGGCGGATAGAGATGATCTGGTTAGCTAACATGGATGGCACTAAAGTGTAACTGCGCTTCCCAAAGAAAATATGTGAGAACTGTAGACAACAAGTAGAAAGGTGTTGGAGGTTTTCGCCATAAAGGTTTCCTCCCGGGTAAATATTATATACTGTAGACACCTGCATGGGCCCACAGGGTGCTAAATCAGGATGATGAAATCGAATTCAAAAGTGATTCTTTATTTAGATCTTATGATGTTTAATTTGACAGAGATGAAATGCGATTTAGTATAAGTGTAATCCTTCGTTCTCATAAAATATTTATTAATCATGCAAAGTACATGAACCCAAAATGTTTGATTGTGGCTAAAGACAATGTCTTGAAATGCGTAGTTAATATCAGTTAGATTAGATATGCTCTATGATTCAATTTGTAACCGAGTTTGAATTGAATCTATCTCGTTTGTTGAAATTATGGAGTGCAGAGATAAGTCAGGTGATGGTTAATGGAAGTAATTGATGAAGGGGGGTTCTTTTTTTGATTTTTATGGTCCTAAGCTAAGTTCTATATCTCCTAGGAGTCAAGGAACGGCGTACACGGCCGAGATCATGCTTCCCACAGGCCCAACTCGGTCTCACCGCGTGATTCACTACAAAACCAGTAGCTAGTTAAAAAATAAAAAAAACACCCATAAATTCCATTTAAAAAAAATCCAAATGCAATACTCCAATTTGAGGTGGGAAAGCGACACTTATCGTCTCGTTTTCCTTCCTGCCATGCTTCGTGCTATGACCTAATCAATATCCTCTCCGCTGAGAGCTGGAGACGGACTCGCAGGTTGGCCTCCGAAGCAGCCGGTTTCTTGCACAAAATATGTAAAATTCTCAAGGGACCTAGGCCCGAGAAGCTTCTGGACAAAGTCATGATGTGACGTTGTCCCTCGAAGTCGACGCGTTTGGCGTGCGTGCAGTCGACAGTGAATAAAGTGGAGAGGCGATGTCTCCTCTCCACACGCACACCCCATTGAAGCTGCGAAATTGTTGGAACGGCGGTGACATGCCGCGAAGTTTCTGTGGCCCGTACGAGCTGAAATCAGTTTACGAAGTAGCCGCCGAGAAAGTGCCAGCTCGCGTGGCTTGCTTCGTCGCATGAGAAGGCCCAGATTACGATATCTAGGTAGACATGCTTCTTTCCACCAGTCGTCAAGGAGCGTTTGCCTGTTCCGATCCATGAGTCGAGGAACGTACGCCAACGTGACGGAGTCAGGCTGGCTCTCTTTACTTGGAAGTTGTCAGAGGCCGGAGCGTGCAGCTCTATCGGCCTCTTCGTTTCCCTGTATCCCGGAGTGGGCTGGTATCCACTGAACCGAGACTCGAGCCTTTTCTGATAACGCTCTAAATCGTCGCACGTCGCCGAGACTTGTTGTGGCTGTTCCCGTCAGCAGTGCCTTCACTGCAGACCGACTATCCGACAACACGTTGATCCGCCGCCTGCTGTCAATTCCACTGTTCTCCCTCTCCACCAATCCCAGCGCAGCTTCCAGGGCCTTTGTTGCCCCTACAATTTCCGCATCAAGCATTTCACCATCATGCTTGATGCAGTATCCCTTCAATAGAGTCTTTCCATCCCTCTTTAAGACGAAACCCCATGATGAGCGACCATGGCCCTCCAACGATCCATCCGGGTAGGCACAAATATCCGATGCTAGTACATCTCCAAGGAACCGAGTAACCTTTTCCTCCTCCTCTATCCTTGGCCCGAAGCTCGAATAATAGCACGGCGGCGGCAGAGGCTCGGCGTCTTCCGCGTCCGGGAGTTGTCGGTAGGCCCGCTGTACTCGTGACATCTGGATCTCCGGATTTTTGGGTACCCGAGCAGACTTCTTGTACTTCCGTGTTCCATCGTTTGGATACTTGGCGGCAAGGGTCCTAAGCGGGTGGCGGTTGTCCAGTGAGTGCAGCCGAGCCGAAAACCGTAAGCGGTTCCCTTGCAGAATGATCTTTCTAGTTGGGATACCTCCTTCGCGATGGAGAACAAGATTAGATGTCGTTCTCATTACCGGAAGGGCAGCGCGCAGTCCTGTCAAGATTATTGAAAGGCTGAGGGCGATTTATAGGGAGACGTCACCTTGTGAATAGAATACTGATAGGTATGGGAGAATTCAATAGATCACTTGGACAGAGTAAGATGATTGATCGATGGTGAATTGTATTTGTTGATGATTGATGTAGATACTGAGTGTAAAAAAGCCCTATCTATATACAGGAGTTCCTACCCTTATTCCTCTACATGTTATTGTATATGATAGCTAGAGTAACTACAATGGTGTCTTCATTGTAGTGAACACGTTGATGTTAGTGTGTAGCGACCAGGAGGCAATAGTGATCAGACTCTAAGTGGTTAACTTTGCTGGTGCACAGTTATCCCCTGAAGGTGTGTGCAGTTATGAACTCAGATTTTTACAACAAAGATTGCCTTGTCAATCATCTCGCAGAAGATGGTGGTTCGAGGTGTGATGATCCCCCTAATGGTCGGACGTTTGAGGCCGGGCCACCAAACATCTGATCCAAAAGTTGCTATTGGGACAATACAAGTATCCACTGCTCGAACCAGTGCCGCAGGAGCGGCTCCTCGATACGCTGAGTTGAAACGGCGCATGTGCTGGGCAACCTTCAACGCCTTTCCACACCAAGTTGTGACATGGTGTTTAAAGTCCAGTCGCGGGTCTAGATGTACACCAAGCCAGCGTATTTGGTCTGCTGGCTCGATAGTCACGCCGTTCACACGAATAGCCACCGGATTCTCGCGTTTCCTGCCGGGAAACTGGACTATCTCCGACTTGTTAGTATCGAAGGAGACTGCATTGTTACTTGCCCACTCCAGAAGATGATCGACTTCCTTCTGTACAGAAGCGGCCGACTCAGCAATGCTGCGCCCAAATCCTAGGATCCCGACATTGTCTGCGTAGCTGAACCTCATTCTTGGGTTGCCGCTTCGCATAGGCTCTGCCATGTATAGAAGGAAGAAGAGTGGCGACATCGGTGATCCCTGCGGAACCCCACACACCAGCTTTCTCTGCCCAGTGACCCCTCCGGAGTATCGGACTTGTACCTTTCGATGTGCAAGAAATGAAGCCGTCCATCGGAGAATCGAGTCTGGCCACCCCTGGTCATGCAACCTCCTCACCAAACGGTTGTGGAGTACTGCATCGAATGCGCCTTGGACATCGAGAGTCGTGAATGTGGCCGCCCATCCCTGGGTGCTCGCCTCTTTGATGTCGTGGACTACGCAGTTGACAAGGTCGTTTGCCGACCTCTTAGGGAGCGCTCCGAATTGTTGGTATCCAACAACGTCGAGTGTAACCGCGGGATGGGACATCCGCTTCGACAAGAGTCTTTCCAGTCCCTTACCCAAGCATGACAAGGGGGCAATCGGTCTCCAGCCCTTGACGGTCGTTGGATCTCAGTTCGTCTTACGTAGGAGCACCACTTCAGCCAGCTTGAAGCAGGATGGATGGGTGCCGAGTCTGATGCAGGCGCGGAAAAGAGTGCTGAAAAATGGTCCAATTGTCTTCCAACAGGTTTGCAAAAGCTCTACAGAGATCCCGTCTGCTCCAGGCGCTGTATTGGCGCAGCCTATGGTGCACATGCAAATCTCCTCGTCCGAGATATGCTCATTCCAGGGGATTCGGTTCGTGCTTGGCGCATCGAGTGGTAGTAGATCGTCCGTCGCTTGGTGC